AGTTTAATATTATTTTATTAGGAACTAGGATTAGAATCAAAATATTATATTTAGTTTATTATTATTTTATTCATTAGTTACTTAGATTCATGGAATTCCTCACCCTATATAAAGGAGGCTCCATTCACCATTGTAAACATATCTTTTCTTAAATATAATACAACGAGAGTTTATTTCTGCACAACATACTTCATCATTAGGTTTTTTTCGAGTTCATCGTGACGGAGATCTTCACACTCCAGTTTACCTTTTCATTGTGATTACGATGGCTGGTTAGAGATGATTATCAAGTTTGCCTAGTCAACTGGGATTAGGAAGGTTCATAGGACAACTATCAATTAATCATCATCTTTATCTTCATTATCAATATATTTTGTGCCACCTCTCTCTTTCATCTTCTTTGTCTAAGTTATTTTATCTTTATCAATTCTTTATATTTGTTAATCTTCTTTTTCTTTATTCATGATTTTTTAGCAACACTTCCCCAATTTAAAACTCTAAAAGTTACGATAAAACCCTAATCCATCACCTCTCTCATTCTTTGATTGAGTCTATATCCCTAGGATTGATTCTTTATGTTTCTTACTTGATCCAAATTGGTTTCAGAAAAGACGACCAGGTCATTAGCAAACTGAATGTGAATATGCATAACTCACTTGTACCCGCCAAAACATCATTAATCAGACCCACCTCTACCGCTTTGCTCAGTAGTGCTTCATGTACTAAACTAAACAATAATGGAGATAACAAACAACCTTGATGGATACCCTTTTGGGTCTTGAAATTCCCCGATGGAGAACCATTTACTAAAACAAAAATAGTAACTGTTGAGATACATAGTATAATCCATCTCCCCCATCTAGCGCTAAATCCCATCATCTTCATAATGAGATCCGAAAATTTCAAATTCATTGAATCGTAGGTGACACACGTCTTTTCTATGTCAAATAATTATTCCTTAATTTCAAAAATAAAATAGAAAAAGATAGTATGGAGAGAGTAAGGATCGATCCGCAGGGACTAAGGAAGTTTCTGATAGTTCGGACCTTGATTTTTGATCTGGCATGAATTGAAAAGAAAAAAAATGGGAGTTTGTTAAGAAGTTTGTAAATAAAATGAAAGATTTAATCTAATAAAATAAAGAAATCGAATTAAAGAAAATAAAGATGAAAATTCTACTGATAAAACTCAGCCTCAGATTTAAGCTTTTTCCTCAATTCGAACCGATCATTGAATAGGGCCCAACCCTTGTAACTTGTTTCGGATTCATTTCGATTACATTTTATTGGGTGTAACCCTTGTAACTTGTTTTTCCTCTCAATTAACCGATTATATGAAATCAATTTTTGGATCTCAACCCTTATGTGGCCTAACCGCGTCAATCATTTGTTAATCCAACTTCGTTTTAGTTTTGGAAAATTGGACTCGGGTTATAGAATCTCAATGAGAATCAAACCTAATTTTAGTTTCCCTTAGCAAACCATCGCTAAGTGTGTTCGCAGGAAGTTGAATGTGCAACAAGTTGATCCTTCCTCCCAACTATTAATTAAAACCACAGTTCGAACCAAACTGTGCTGTTTAAACAATGTATTTTTTTCCTAAACTCTTTTTTTGCGGAATAATTTTATATTTCTCCTGAAAAAGAGGGGGAAATTGGCTCGGGTTAATAATGTGGTAAACAAAGAAAGGGAATATGAATCAAATTGGCTAACTAAGGGGAAAATAAATAAATGGTAGGTGATTTTGGGGGGGGAGAAAGGGTTAAATCCTAAGTGCCCCTATCATACTAAAACATCATATTCAATTGTGTAGTCTCGAAAAGTATTACGTTACAAGTTCTAGAATGCAAATAATTAGTTCGGCACGCTCAATTAAAACAAAGAGAAAGAATACAAGATATGCTCATTAGATCCAAAACTCACATGAAATGTTCAATTTACTCAATTATGGAATCAATGCAACTAACGAACTCATGGAATTGGCAAAACAAATCACACAAATTAGTCATGCAATGCTATTATGTATCCTAAATCACAACAAAATCGAGATTTAATTTACAAAGAAATGAAAGGAAATTAAACGAAACAAAATATATGCAACAAGAAATATCAACAATTAAAATCAAGAAAATGCTCAATTTCTTGCTTAATACTCGATAAACTAGCATTGTTTAATGCTCGAGAAACAACCAAGACACTCGGGTTACTTTAGTAGCAAGAAGGTCTTTTGTATGTCCGTACATGTTTCAGTTAGTGCACAAGGCATTTTAATGCTAGATGGGCATAGATGCCCCAAGTACTCATATAGAGTAGGTTGGTCGAGTTGATGTTTCCGACGTAGAAATTCTGGATCCCACCCTAGGTAGACTAGAGAGGTGTGTGTCTCTAAGATGTGCGAAACCCTCCGACCACACCATGATGTCTACCTTTGTATATATGTTTAGATTAGCATTCTTGTATGCTAATATTTATGTTGCAATCATGATCATACTGTGGAATCATGTAGTATAGTTTGGTTATTAATGTGGCACTGAGCTTGTCAGCTCAACGTTCGTAATTTGTTTTCATGTGAAGGTTCTTAGGATGAGCGTTCGAGGAGCTTATTGTGTAGTCCGTATTCTAGACCAACATAAGCTTTTGAGTAAGTCTTGTATCTTCTTAAAGGGCATGTATTGTATATGAACCTTCTTGTATTCTAGTTGTGACTGTACTTTGAAATATTCTTTTGAAATAATCTAGATGTATTATGGGGTCTCCCGTAATAGTAAACTTAAATACTATTATTCCTATTTTATAATCATGATGGATGCTTTTAAATTGGTCTTTATAATTGTTTTAAAAAGAAAAAATTTTGGTTAGCCACTTTAGTGGTTTTGTGTAATGTACTAATTTATTAGCCTTCGAATCGTAGTGGAGTAGGACGTTACAAATGAGTTCATGAAGAGTCCATATGAGCATGCACTATATACAAAGAAAAATGAAGACAATGATATCATGATTGTGTGCATATATGTGGACAATATGATTTTTCACAGGAAACAGTCCATGTATGTTCAATGATTTCTAGAAAGCTATGACAAAAGAATTTAAAATGACAAATATTGGTGAAATGTCATACTTCCATGGAGTCGAGTGAAACAAATGCAAAATAAAATATTTATGTCTTAAAAGAAGTACCCTAAGCAAATTTTGAGCAAATTATGAATGGAAGACTGCAAGTCGATAACCACTCCAGTAGAACTAGGCATGAAATTAAGTGTAAATTCAACAAGAGAGCCAGTAAATCTAACGTTATTTAAAAGCATCATTGAAAGTCTAAGGTATATGACTATCACACGACCAGATATAATGTACATTGTGGGACTAGTAAACAGATTCATGGAGAAGCCCAAATAAGATCATTGGATTGCGACAAAGAATTTTGAGATATGTCTAAGGTACAACAGATCATGGTTTGTCCTATACGTATTTAGGAAATTTGGAGTTAGTTTGTTATTATAATAGTGGTTATGGGGAGACTTAGATGATCGAAAAAATACTTCTGGATATTTGTTACATATTGACTCTATAGTATTTTCATGATATTCAAAGAAGTAAAAAAGGGTAACTCTTTCGACATGTGAGCAGAATATATAGTCGCAACAATGTGCATTCGCCAAGCAATGTGGTTAAATAATATTTTGAATAAGCTAAACTTGACACAAGAAGAACCGACTATTATTTATGCTAATAACAAGTCTACAATTTCTCTTGCTAAGAATCTTGTCTCCCATAGTCGAAGCAAACATATTGATACAAAATATCACTTTATACGAAAGCAAGTGAAGAACAAAAATGTAAAATTAATATACTGCAGAAGTGAAGATCAATTAATAGTCATTTTCATGAAGCCATTAAAAAAAGATATTTTCAACCGACTCAAAGAAAAACTCATAATGGAAAATCAAATTTGAGTGAAGTGTCAGAAGTTAAACATGATTTTTGACTGTGGGTTGGCAAAGCACTTGCCAAGAAATCAAGGAGCAAGGAAAAGCATTTAAGTCGTCAGCAACAATTAATTAGATGACAACACCCTAAACCACAAAGGCATGTCAGTAAAGTTAGAATAATATGTGGCATCTACGGTACAGGGTTAATTATGTAATTATGTACCATGTTTTTTATTATAAATAGAGATGTAACCTAAACCTATGAGACATTGAATAAAACTTCTAGCGCCGCCTAGCCACTGAGGATGTAAGGTCGAACCTTGTTAAAAATTCTTGTGCTCTTCTGTTTTTTTTTTTCGATTCTTCAACAGTAAACAGTAAGCACAAATGAAAATTCATGTATACATTTGAATATCGTTATTAGTATCTTGTTTCAATCAAACAATCAAATTTGTCCTCATGATCAACAAGAATATATATGTACAATTATAGAAGTCATGAAATTAGAGGTGAACAAAATTCGGTTTAATTTGAAAAAATTGGTATTTTTCTAATTTTGAGTTATTTGAATCAATTTAAATTATCGAATTAATTTTCCAGTTTGAGTGTAGTTAGAATTTAAAAATTTTTGAGTTATTCAAGAGTCAAAAATTTAGCTTGATTGATAATTTTGACAGTTTTACAATTTTGTCTCTGATTTCCTTATTTCCTCAATTCATCGTTCATTTTAAGTCTATTTTCTTATCAAATTTGAACAACTTGCTCTTAAACTATTGTAAAATATTTATTTATCTCTAATTCCTTTTTTGAAAACAATTTTTCTATTTTTTTGATTTAATCCCTCAAATTTGCAAGATTTCTTTATTTCTACAATTCATCCTTTAATTCATTTTAGGTGCATTTTCTCCAATTTTGCATGGTGTTTTCTCAACTCGAATTGATAAAGTTTGAATGACAAAATATGACTTATCAACTCGAATAACTTAAAAAACTTTTTATTCGGCTGGATCGAATGTTCACTCTGACATGAAACAACTAAATAAAGCAAACAATAGGAGAGAAAATTTCATTTCAAATGTAACCATTTCATGGACACTTAAATATGATAATCACATCCCACGTTAAAGCACAAAAGTGTTTGACCAGCACAACAACAATGGTTTCTCAAATGACGACTTTCACTTTTCAAGAAGCTTGAACAGCTGCATGTGTTTTGTTGGGTTCACATTGTGGTGAAGGGAAAGTGAAGAGAATGATTAGGCGAGAAAAGATTGTCCCAGCTTCCCCTGCTGGAGTTGCTTGATTCGGATTTATCCAACCCTACGTGCGCCACGTGCTTTACATCTGTTGGCAACCCTATTTCCATATCTTCCTCCTCTTCCATCTCTTCTTTGTGCACTAAAACACCCCATAAATTAAGATCTCGATTGGAAACCTAAAGGATGATATATATATATATATATATATATATATATATTATAATGATATAAAATATCACTATTTTTATTAAATAGTTATTTTATATATTTTTAGAGTTTTTTTATTTTTAATATAAAAGGTCTCTATGTGGATATGATTTATAATTTATTAATTAACAAACGATCAATGCTCCAAAATAAGAATATTGTTGTCTTAAAATAAAATATTAGGGGGAAAATTACTTCATAAAAGTGATTATTTTTGTCAAACTTTAAGGGTATTTTGACAATAAATTAAATATTGGGAGCTAAAATGCTCTAGAAATAAGAATAAGAATCTAAATTACTATTTACTCAAATGTTAGTGTGGGTATACTTACCGAATAATTGTGAGAAGGTCTTGAAACCCTTGAACAGTTTATGAAACCCAGGATTCACGGATAAACTTTCATCATCTTCTTCTTCTTCATGTCGTGTTCCTACAATATCAAAACCTAATTAGTGTCCTGTAACAAACAAATTACAAAAGGAACAATAATATATAAGAAGAATTGTTGCAGAAGATGAACTGGCATTGGCAGGCTTTGAATTTGATCTTCTAGGCTGCTGCTGCTGAACAGCTACCGCCACACTTGATTCAGAGACACATCCAAAGGGCAGCATAACAAATCTTTCCATGAATCTGAACAATGGGAAAACCCAGAAAACCTGTTGTTGAAGGGAAATGCAGTACTCATTGGAAGTATTGTAGTTTGGTTTGTTATATTGGGTAATAGCTATGGCTGCCTTTGTTATCAAGTTACAATAATTCTTCCATATTCGAGGAAATCAAATATAGTTTGGAACCACTAACTTATGATCTGATTAAATTTTGAAGTTGTAACTATAAACCCAGGCTAAAAAATGTAGTTGAACTTATGTTTAGGAGGCGTTATATCAAACCCCATGGCCCAAACCAACCCTAGGGTTGGTTCTAACTCCTGTCACTTCCCCGAGAAAACTTTTTACTGTATTAAGTTTCCCCACAGTGGGGCTCCTACTTCCTTCAATTATACATAAAGCTACCAACCTTTTTTCCTTTCCCCGTCTGTATTTAATTTTTTGTTCACTTAATTTATACTCTTCCTTTTAATTAAGTGGCGGATGCCTTGCATTAAGGGAAGATATATGTTCATCCTAAAAATCGAATTTATTTCAATTAATTATTAATTTTATTAGTTGTATCGATCCTAAAATTTTATTTTTACTCATCATGTGTATTAAACTTTTATTAAACTTTTATGTTATTAATATGCGTGTTATGTCCTAAAAATATTTTTATATTAAATGTTTCGCAAGCGATCTCATGTGTTCAAAACACATGCAACAAGCTCTCGGTGAAGGGTACCTAATGGGTGTGTTTTCTTGGAGTTTAAAGAAGAGTAAAATGATTGATGTATTGGCTGGCCCATCGGAACTTGAAAAGATAAATATATTGGCTTGTTGAGAGATTTATTTCAATTTTACACCTTGATACAATGACTATATTTGGGGTTCATGAATTTATTCCCGTACATATATTATAACTCACAATAACCAGCTAACTTATATAAGAATATAATATTATGAGTAAAGTATAAGGACGGTCATCTCATTTTATGTATTTATTTTCAATTTCTATAATTTCATTTAAAAAAATAGGATTAATATTAAATTTATTTATTTAAAATTAAAATTAATTTGATAAACATGTAAACATTTAGGGTTAAATATGTTGATATTATATCAATTAAAACAGATGTCATATCATCATTATATTAACTACTTAACTATGAGTGATCGAAATTAAAATTCAAAAAGTTGAATGATGAAATTAAAATTCTTAAATTTAAGTGACAAAAATAGAAGTGACCCTGAAATTGGGTGATCATTCTTTTACTTTACCCTGAAAACTTAACTTAGAAAAACTTAACGATGAAATGAAATTTTAGTGACCAAAATGCTCTAAGAAAGAGAACGAAGTGTAAAGGGGCACTTTTTAGTATTATGTGTTTTTTAGTGATATAGTTTGCATTAATTTATTGTTTTTGTCCTATCATGGAATATGATCAATCTATCCATGGGTACGGGGAACAAAATGAAATTGAATCTATAGTAATGCACTTTGGATTCAGATATCGTAAGCACTCTCATACCTATAAACAGAGCGGAGATATAGCAAAGGAACGGGACATTCAACACTATTCCTAAACCTCCATTGAAGTTTGTTCCCCAAATGTAATCGAACAACTAGAGAACTCCTCGAACCCCAACACAAACAACGAGCTCAAACATCGGTGTGTCACGTCAATTGATGACAGTAATACAAATAAATTAAAAAATTTAATGATTGTATTATAAGTATTAAACATTCGATAATCACAATGACCGCCACTCATTGTCAAAACCCATTCAAATCAGTCTCTACAATACTCCCTCCATTCTCCGAATCCGATCGTCAAATGGAGGTTTTTTTTCCAATACGCCTATAAAAAAATTATTTCGGGAGTAGACGAAAAATTCGTCACATCGAGGTAATAAGTTTTGAAGGATATTATTTTTATATTTCATGTTTAATATTTAATTAATTTCTAAGGAACTCCTCACCTCGAGATGAAGAGTTCTATTAAAATAATATTTTTTATAGTTATTTACTTAAATAGAAAAATAAAAAAAAAATCTTTAGAACTCGTCACCTTGAGGTGACCAGTTCTTCGAGGTTTAAATATATAGTCATTTAGAAATAATTGAAAAAGTATGTTTATAACTGTTGTAACTCGTCATGTTGGTGTGACAAGTTTTAACGGTCATTTTGAAGAAAAAAAAATCACTATAAATAGGAGTTGGGTTAGTTGATAGAGTTATATGAGAAACAAATCATGCATTTGCGGGAAGAATATTTTAGAAATTTTTCGAAAGATCATTTTGGGTCTAAGTACTCTGACATTGATGACTCAGATTCAAGCTTGTCTTCAAATGAGGAATGGGTAAAAGAGTCAATAAAGTCGATTGTTGATCAACATAAGAAGAAGAAGAATGAAGACTTACCAAAACGATGCAGAAGCGACTTATCGAGAGGAATGAAAAATAATACTAATGTAAAACTTGAGAGGAAAAATAAGAGGAAAAGTTGTTTATTTTGCTAAAAAAGTTATATATATATATATATATATGAATTTGAGTTTATTTAAACATCATTTTTGAATAGTTACAATTATATATGAAAAGTAAAAATATAAAGATAGTTATTGATATTGATAGATTTATCCAAAATAGGTACAACAAACAACATGAGAATAAAATTAAAAAGGTTTTATCGGTCCGGTCGATATTTTGGAAGATGTGGAAATTGTTTTCTGTTGTGGCCTTCACCTCTGCAGTGGCTACAAAGCTTTGGCAGTCCTTGCTCTCATTGAGGATCATCCATATCAGTATGAATTTGACTAGATTCAGGATGACCCCTCAACTTTCTTCGTAATTGTGGATTGGGAAATCATTCTATAGAAACAGTTAGTGGTCAACATGCATCGTTTAGGAGATACTTAAAGTCACAACTGTATATATTGCGCATAGTATGCAGGTTATAACAATCATCAGCGTGTGAGTATGAGATTACATTCACTTGCATACATGCAGCAACCTGTGAACGCATGAATATCTGAAGGCTTGAAATCGACCACAATCACACCATCTTCTATTGAGATTACCGATGTAGGTGGCAGAATTCTCACCCTCATGTGATCGAATAAGTGCTTGGAAAATGTAATCAGAATTGAGTCTGGCAAAATTATGAACATACATTGATATTGCATGTGTTTGATTTTTGTTCATTGCTTTCTCCATATTTTGTGCCCAATTTCTATTTTCGTTGATCATTGCCTCTACTTAGGCACCTTTGTCTGCTCATACTTTACCCAGTCTAAAGTAAGTCTACCAAACAATACTTGCTACTGGAAGATGTCTAGTCTCTTTAAGAACTGAATTAATATATTCAACAAGATTGGTTATCATGTGACCGTAACGTTGACCATATTTCTTGAGGTATTTCAACTACAAACTTATAAACCTCCTCCATATTTCCTTAGATGTTCCAGCCTTGTACGGAAGTTCGGTTGTAGTAAAGCGTATCTTGAAAAAAGTTAGATTTAAGTATAATAATAAAATAAGAACATAAATAAAGGAAAAGAAAAGAATAAGTTACCAATATTGATAATATCTTTCTTGATCTTCTTATTCTTAAACCTCGTCATAGCATTGGATGCAATATGAAGTATACAATATGCCAGAAATGCATGGGGAGGTGACCACATACTTTCCAATTTGTCAATCGTGGCCAACAACCAAGGTGAACATTCTGAAATCATATAAACCCCATCTTGTATGACAACATGGAAACACAAGTTTGACATAAAGAAATTTCACATTACATCAGACTCAGTTTTAACAATGGCAAATGCAATGGAGGGAATGTTTCTGTCACCATCTTGTGCAACATCTATCATCAAGATGTGTTTTTCTAGGCCATAGAGAAAAGTGTCATCTACTTGAACCATTTGTTTACAGCAATGAAAACCTTCAATGGATGACTTGAAAGCCCAAAACAAGCCTTCGAAAACTCTCTTCCCTGGGATAACATGTCCATCAAACGTGTTCACAAGATAAGTATAAGAGCGAACAATGGTTCCTGGGATGAAAAATTCCATTGTGTGTAATATATGTGGGAGCTCATTGTATGACTAGTCCCAATCACCGTACAATAGTGTCATAACTTTCCTTTTCTCCATCCACGACTTGTAGTAAGACATAATATAGCCAAATGTGTTTCGGATTGATGCCACTATCATTGAAACTAGGATCCTTGGATTTTTCTTCACCAAAAGATAGACGTATACACATATGACATCAGAATCTAAGTGTTTGTTGTCTTGGGTCAAGGAGCTTAACGTGCAACTGTACTAGGAGTGGAACCTTATCACTTACTAAAATATCTTTCGTTGTAGGTATGAGACATGTATCCTTCACTTACAGCCGACATTATTGTTTATAAACTTAACAAAATATATATTCTGATCAAACTCCACTACATTGAATTCTATATAAGCTTTGATACAAAACTCCTTCACTGCTAGTTGGACATCTTTCTTAGTTTCAAATTGGGACCCAACTAGCAACTCCGTTGATTTGTCATTCGAGGTACCCTAGTGGGCTGTGCATATCTCCGACATATCAAGATTCCTAATGGAATCATAGTTTATGTCACATGTTGTAATTGGATTATAATAGTAAGGCATTTGGGGTCGTGACGTTTGAGGGTAACTAGGGTTGGTAAATGTGCCCAACCTCGCGGAGCATTCAGCAGTGCATACCCATATTAAATTGCTGCCTCCCAGACATCAACCTCTATATCAAAACCTTTTCCCTCTAAAATAGCCTCGACGATATCATAATCATTAAATATTGGTGTGTCATCGTCTAGTAGTAGTGGAAAAAAGTTTTATCATCCTAATTGAAATCATTGAGGCTTTCACTGAATTGGCCAACAAGGTTATCTCGATCTCCTCATGGTCATGTTTCTTCGGTCACATGTGCAACGGTTAAAGAATTAGGAATATATGCATTTTCAACGTATATGTCAATCATTTGATTATTTGGATATTAATGCATACCAACCATAACAGCTACGTCATCGTCGTCGTCAATATAGAATTCTCCATATTTGAGCGGAGTCTCTAAAATTATGTGTCGATAACTCAAACATGAACCATGGGCTCTAAATTTTCTTTCAATCTTCTGTTTCATTTGGTGATGCGATACATCTAAAGGGAACATCATGTTTACGAGTTTCTATGACTTAAACATAAAACCATCATCAGTTTGGATAACTTGGCCATTTGAGTGGACCACTATGTAAAATTTGATAGTCATAGGCTGAGAAAGATTTTTTTCTTGTTCAACTCAGTTGTACAAAGAACTACTTATTTGGTTGTTGGCCATAAATAGAAAAATCAACTTTCAGTGCCCAATTAATTATCTTAAACAACTTTTCAGTAATATATCAACTCATTTAAGCAAACTTTTAGGTGAAGACACATCACTTAATATCAGAAAAACATGCATTTCTCATAGGCAAAATAATGCACCATGTCAAAAACTTTTCAGTGCCCAATTAATTATCTTAAGAAACTTTTCGGTGATATATGAACTCATTTCAGCTAAATTTTCAACGGTGATATATCACTTCGTATAAAAAAACGTGCATTTCTCATAGACAAAATAATGTACCATAGTAGAAACTTTTTAGTGCCCAATTAATTATCTTCTGCAACTTTTCAGTGATATATCAACTCATTTCAACAAACTTTTAAGTGGTGATATATCACTTAATATCATAAAAACGTGCATTTCTCATAGGCAAAATAATGCACCATGGCAAAAACTTTTCAGTACTCAATTAATTATCTTAAGCAACTTTTCAGTGATATATCAACTCATTTCAGCAAACTTTTTAATGGTGATATGTCACTTCATATCAATAAAACGTACATTTCTCATAGGCAAAATAATGCACCATGGCAGAATCAACAACTTTTCAGTGATATATCAACTCATTTCAACAAACTTTTCAGTGGTGATATATCAGTTCATATCAGAGAAACATACATTTCTCACATGAAAAATAATGCACCATGACAGAAAGTTTTCAGTTAAAAAACTTTTCAGAAACCTATTAATGTGTGAGGTGAAAGTTAAATTACTCATTTGAAGCAAAATTTTGTGATTATGACAATTATTTGTGCAACAATTTTTTATTGAAAATCTTTAACCATGTGTTTCGAAAAAAATATTCAACTATCTTTAACCATGTGTTTCGAAAAAAATATTCAACTAGACAAGTTGAAGTTCAATATAGAAACAAGAGTTCAACTCGAAGCAATAGAAGAATATCTTTGTTATACTATAGATTTCCACTATCATGCACGATGTTTCATCTAAAGGATGATGTCGACTTTGATGGTATGATTGAGACATACTTCTATCATTCTTTATCTAATGTCAATTTGTTTGTAGAGTTCGTTGATCTCGACCTTGTCCGTACGGTTGAGGATGTTGCTTCCAACTAGAACATCCTATAACTCAAAACAAATTTACATTGAAAAATATCTTAGCCCATGCATATCTTTTAACAAATATTCGTTTTTAAAATATTATTTTAATAGAACTCGTACGAGCTGATGGGATTTGTAAATAACAGTTAAATATTATTTTAACAAATTTTGGTTAACCATGTGTTTAAAGATATGAGTAAGCATGGGCCAAGGCATTTTTTCCATTTTTCTATTTAAAGTAAAAAACTGTCAAAGAAAAGTTACGCAAGTCTTATAAATCTAATTTTACACTATAAGTTAGTTATGTTTGCAAAGGCGAAGCAAAGCAGAAGAACGATCTTCCGGTGTTCATATGACCAAAGAGCAAAACAAGAACACGAAAATGATGTTAGGCAGCTTACAATCATAGGGGAGGGTAGAAATATGAAGACAGGGAAAAGCCTAGAAAGAGTAAGCCTCCAACTGTAGCAACGGTGCTTTGCGAGATCTTGGCCGCCAGCATACTTCCTCCCACCACAGCCAATGATGTGCAGATGGTGTGTCCTAATGTCGCTCCTACCGCTACTCCGACTGCATTTTTATGCGTCGCTAGCTACAACATCAAAAATCATGGTTTTACAAAACTACCCGACTTATAAAATAGAATGTTATACTTGGGTGAATGAGCATTCAAACACAAATACCAAACAATTCAGCAGTCAAAGTTGCACGTCAATCATGAAAATTTATAATAAATCAAGTTTGTAAGGAAAAGAAAATAAATGAATGTGATGCCAGGTCAAATGCAGCTGTTCACTTGCAAATAAAAGATCTTAATAACACAGAACCTTTATAATTAATCATAGTATACTCGTTAATGGTGATTAATAATATTACCATCATTTATAAGTATGTCATTGGGTCATCTCACCATCCTGTTCTTATAAAGAAGTTATCAGCCTTTGGCTTCAAGCCAGCAGAAGGCACTTTTCACCTAACGGATTAAGTTTAGAGAAGTTCATGCATTCTTTTTGTTGCAAGTTGTAACTCAGATTATTTGCATTTTTAAAGGGAAACAACACATGCCGACTTTCGCTTCTTAGAACAACTTCTCAAGTAAAAGAACCCAAAGAATATGAGCTACCATCACAAACAATGAGACAAATTCAGATAATAGAGATAACATATAGGTCAAGGGAAAGAATAATCTTACAGCAATTGTTGCAATCTGGCTTCTATCCCCCCATTCTGCTAGGAACGTTAGAATGAATGCCTGCATAGAAAGAGGGGGGAAATGGAATAAGAAGGAAAAAAACAACTCAGTTATAATATATTATTTAAACAAGTGGAAATTAGCTACCTTTAAATACTCGAGACAAATGGTAAATTGTGAACAAAATAATACCTCCAAAAATATTGGTGTACAAAATCTGGAGAAGAAGCGCCGATAAGATGTTTTCCCTTGCCCAGTCTCGAGTTTCTCTTCCACCTAAACATTTGATATAACCAAAGGCAAACACACCATGAGATAATATGAAAGTTTTTCACTAAGAAAAGATGGTGTAATTTTTAAAAATAGTATAATTTATTGATAGTGACTAGATTGATAGATGTAAGAATGCATGCACATTAACAAGTGGACAAGAAAAGCTCAAGATACTTTTAATGAAATTGTGCACTTCCCTGGAAAGGGACAAGCGCTACTCTACATTCTACAATGCAGAAAAAACTAATAATAGACTCCTAGAAGTCAGACACTGACTAAATTTTAAGTATAAACATTTAGACTGCGTCAAAATTGGATCTGTCAGCGTACACCAGTTCTTTTATATTGGCAGAAGCATCTATAATATCAAATGTTCTAAAATGATGTATAAAGCAAATATGAAGACTGAATTGAGAACTCTAGACATACTTCTTCAATTTCCTTTTTCTGAGATGCCATTGAATCTGATCTCCAAGCAATGTAAAGTAACCGGAGCCCAAAAAATGCGTAGAGAACTGCATACCAGAACCAATGACAACACCATGGTCATTTTATTTCTCTAAAGAAAAATTTTCTTTGTATTAGACAACTATGATAGAAAAGCATAAAAAGGGGATAAAGCAAAGAAACAGGTGTAGACACACAACATGAAGACACTCTGAAAGAAAAGCTCAACCAATGAACAAAAATGAAGCCATAGAAAACAGCACACATGATGAACTAAAAACTAAAAAATAACCTAATCAGAATTTTTATGTACCGAAAAATGAAAGAGATAGCTATTTTGCATTACCCGTAGCTGCACTATTGGTGTGCTTCCTCGATATCAAATTTGGCACAATCCTACCTAGTGCAGTGGAAAGTACCTATAAGACAAGAAAATTAAAACATTGACAGCATTAAGAATTTAGCAAAAATGGCTTTGCCAATTTATGTTCTTCCAGAAGAATTTCATCTTAATACCATGAAAACGCATAATGCTCTATTTTTTTTTTTTGGGGGGGGGGGGGGCATGACAGATTTCATAAGTCAAAGAATGACTTAAAACATTTAAAAGAAAATTCTAACTTACTGTCATAACAATCAGAGCAGTTAGCGCACCAGATAAAACAATTGACTTCGGGTGTCGCATCGCCATAAGAGCTGCTATAATAAATGTCTCATCTCCAATCTATCATTGCATTTAGAACACATACATTCAGCATTTACTTTAGATTCCATCACTAACAATTTATGTGACCAATTTTAGAAGCAAAATAGTTAACATGTTTCATAAAAATAAACTTCCTTCTAAAGAACATTATAGTAAGAGATGTGGAAAACCATCAATGTTTTGTATAGGGGTGAGCATTTACCTCGACTTGAAAAACTGATTTTTTCGATTAGACTTGACTCGAAAAAACTCGACTTTAATTGACTTCGAGTTGCAATTTCATAAACTCGACTCGAAAAAATTTCAAGTTCAAGTCGAGTTATAAAAATACAACTCGAATAACTTGAAATTTTTAGTAATTAGTGAATTGGTTTTCAAGTTTAAGTTGAGCCCTTCGAGTTTGTATGATATATATGTATATCACATATGAAAAAAATATGAAGAAATATATATGTATTGTATATGCTTATAAAAACCATTCAAATTGAAATTAAATAGTATCATAATATTATAAATATTTACAATTAAATTTAAACAGTAAATCGAAAACTCGACTCGAAAAAATTTCAAATCAACCTTGAGTTATGAAATAGGACTCGTCAACTCGAGTAACTCGAAAGTTTTTTACTTGACCTGACTCGATCGAAGGCTCACCCCTAATTTTGCAAAGTCAAATATAAAATAAAATAGAATTGAATGTACAAACCTCACTGATAATTATCATGGACAAACTTGTAAAGAAAGCATCGAAGACTCCAAGACCAGCCGAATCAAAACCGACATCGATACCAATTGAATTACTATCAGACTTTTCATCTAATTCAACGTTCTTTGAAACAATCTGTAAAAAAAAAACATCATCAACATAATCGAAAAGCCAACACAAAATACATATCATTATAAAATACAAAATTCCACAAACGAAGAAGTTAACATAATGATAACGTGGTACGTGTATAAGTTCCAAATTAAATCTCAAAACGAAGCTAATATTTAGACATGCGTGTGGTTTAACTAACGCCCAGTTTTAGCACTTAGCATTATATTCATAGAGAGTTGCTCTAAACTCTAAAGCAAAAGAAAATGGAACTCTAAAGTTCCAAATGGAATAAACAACCAAAGCCCAAAGGACAATATAACTAAACTAATTGTTTAAAAAATGTGAAGTCAACAAATTATTTTTTTAATAATGTGAGGCGATTGCAAATCAGCCGTTCGAACTCAAATTTTCTGAAGAAAATAACATTTCCTTTTACTATATAGATCATTCAATAAGTTCGAAGTCTACAAATTATTCTCTCCAAAAAACAAAACAAAACAGAAAATAAAATAAAATAACAGACCATGCCACGGCGACCGAGATCTTTGACTGACCCACCCGATTCCTCCTCAACTTCAAGTCCAGACACCTAAGAGATCATAAAAATGTTTTTAAAAAACAAAATCCCCAATTCAGTATGTACTTAAATTTGAAAGAATAAGCTCTTTTATCTAAAAAAAATGGAAAATACCTGAGCAAAAGAAATGGCGGAGAGAGCAAAGAAGATGACGAAAGCAACGAACAGAAAGCGAGCGGAAATGGAATCCATTACAAGAAGCTGAGGAGAGAAATTTGAGGGATGGGGAGGTTTTAAAGAGGGATCTGAATCAAAGGGGTAGATCTAATAAAAGGGATTGAGATCCAAGGAATCAACGAGACATGAAAGAGAGAGATCCTGCGAAGAGCGAAGATCTTCACTGCTACAATTTGCTCAGTGAGAAAGCGCGGGTATTACATTACGTAGGAAGGGGCTGAGGAAACTTCAACCCTTCTTTTCCCCTGATTTCGAAGCTCAAATTGCTTGTTAATCATTTTGTGAAGGCGGCCGACTCTCATACTTTATTATTAAATTCCAATAATCTTGTTCCTTTAACTGATTTTTAGTCCAACTCTAAATTTTTAATTAGAACGTACTCTTTGACCGCGGCAAATTTTTTAAAATAATGTGTTAAAATTATAAATCTATTAAGGGTAAAGTACATAAATGGTTCCTCAACTATAGAATATTACTTTGTTGAGTCATTCAACTATTAAAAGTTATAAAATGGTTCATTGATTATATAGTGTTGCTTTTTTAAGTCATCGACTATTAAAAGTTACAAAAATTATCACTCTACTATTCACTATATTCTAAATTCGTCTTTTTTGTAAAAAATATTGATGATAGTTTGAGATGGACGTTAACCTGCTGATTAGGATATGATGTCATTTGAGATTATGGGTTCATATTAGGAATGGTAACGGGGCGGGTTTTGCTTGCCCCGTCCCTGTCGGGTTTTTTATTGGGGCGCTCCATCGGGGATTTTTTTACCCCATCCCCGAACCCGACTCAAAATGTTATACCTGAACCCGACCAGATCCCGAGAAAAACTTTATTTTTCATTTAAAAAATAGAAAAAATATAAAAATATAAAAATATAAAAAATATAAATTATTATATATAATTAATATAAAATATATAAAATATTATATATAATTAATATGAAAAATATTATATATTATATATATAATTAATATAAAAAATTAAAAAAAATATATTATATATATAATCGGGGCGGGGCGGGGATACCTTGCCCCGAACTCGAACCCAAAAAAATCTCCGAATTTTACCCCGATACCCGACCCGATATTATTCAAACCCGACCCGGCCCGAACTTGGCCGGGTTTCAGGTTTCCCCGTCGGGTTCGGGTTATTCTGCCATCCCTAGTTCATATTATATCATATCTTAGTGAGTAGGTTAACATCAAACTGAAATTGACATCAATTTTTTAATAGAAAATGATGAGTTTGGAACATAATGAATAGTTGTGCGATTATTTCGTAACTTTTAATAGTTAGAGGACTTAAAAAATAACATCTTATAGTTATGAGATCATTTTGTAACTTCTACTAGTCAAAGGACTCAATAAAGTAATACTCTATAATCGATGATCATTAATGTATTTTACCTATCTATTAAATGGTCTAAATGTTCTCTATAGAAATTTTAAGTTTAAGCAGATATATATGTATAGTGCTTATGAATTATCAACTGATTAAAAAAATTCTGAACATATACTATTTATAATCACCACGAATTTTAAAAAATAGATATATAAAGTTTATGAAATTTTTTCCAACTTGTAATAATTATTGTATCTAAGACTCTAATTGAAAAAATAATTTTCTTTACACTTTACATTAACAAGTTTTTCCCACACATTATGTAACACCCCAAAAACCGGGTTAGTAGTTTTGAGAAACTTTTTTGGGCTTAACGTGTATGGGAGACTCTTGAGATACAATTAGGCTTAGGATATGCCCAAAAATTTATTAAAAAAAAAAGGAATTATTATATTGAGGTCAAAAGAGGAAGGAATAAGGTAGCAATTAACACCTAAAATTTTAAAAGGCTGATTTTCATTAAGTTTTGGTGAAGTCAACAGGGTAAAAAGGTTGAAACTTACCTACTCATTTTTCTCACCATTTGTCTTCTTCTTCTCTTTGCCTTCATCTTCCCCCTCTTGTTAGTAACAAAAGTGGGAACTTGGTTGTCCTACAAAGCTAGTCCAAATTTAAAAAGGTAAAAACATTAATCTCCTCCCCTAGAGCTTCATTTCTAGCCCAACATCTCAATGTTTGGTTGTGTTGGCCAATGTGGGGTTTTAGAGAGATTTTGAGTTTTAGAACTCTAGGTGGCTCCAAATTCATACCTAAGTGTTTAGAATAAAGTTTATACTCAGTTATAGTCTTTAAGTACGTTATTAATCTTCCTCATTTTCTTTAGTCAATGAGAGAAGTTGGGGAAAGCTACAAAAGCAAGAACAAGGAGAAGTCAGTGATTGGGTGACATTGTGGAAGATTTTCCAGTAGGTAATAGTGAAGTAACACATCCCTAACTCACCTATACCACTTGTAGATCGTTAGGTTATGATTTGTTTGCTTGTTGTGTTCATAGGTACAAATACATGTTGTTGTGATTTATAAGTGAAATGGGACATTTGATGTTTATATTGCTCTAAAATGACCTATAATGATACCTTTGAACGCACATAAAGATTAATTAATGTTTAAGGCTCATAGAGTGACTTATGAGAGAAAATAGGGAAATTTTCGTGCTCAAACATGGCATTTTTTGTAGGGGTATCGATATTGAAAGAACAGTACCGATATTATTCTTCGTGTAGGTTAAAATAAAGGATATTTAAGGCTGAAAGTATCGATACACATTCTTGTGGTATCGATATTGTTCAATGAGTATCGATACTCTAAGCTTTGTATCGATACTAGCATTACAAGTCATATTCTAGTAGGTAATTTTGGTATCAATACTCACGAGAGTATCGATGCTGAGGGTAGAGTATTGATACTCTCAATATGGGTATAGATACTAGATTAATTTTCAAAAAATCGAAGAAAATTTTGGTATTGATCTTTCAGTATAGCAGTATCGATACTGCCTAGACCTCTCAGAATCCAGTAGTCATTTTTGGTATTGATACCAAGGGTGAATATCGGTACTCAAGGGTCAGTATCGATACTGAAGGGTTCACTATTGATACTCTCATCCTGAATTGGGTTAGAAACCCAATTTGATTCAAGTGTTCGAGAAGGGAATTAAGAGTCGTTGGGACTTCTCTAATAAAAACTACAAGTGAGAACTGTAATTAATGCAGTTACAGTTAGAAATGATACTAGCTAGGATGACATAAAACTAGCATTTGTTTGATACTCGGGAAACAACTAGGACACCCAAGCTACTTGAATTTATGAATGTTCGCCTAATAATTGTGAATTGAGATAACCAGATTTTCTCTTATTACTGTTGAGGCACTTTTAGTATCAATGCAAATGCACTTCCGTATCAGTATTGTTGCACTTTAGTATTAGTGCTAAGGCATTTCTGTTAATTGATGGTAGAGTCACTATATATGTATATACAATGATATACTTATACATTGTGATTTTATTCGATATCTTGCTATGACTTATGTTTGATGCATTTCGTTACCGCATGACTGAACTTGTGAGCATTCACAACTAATGGATGTATGTAGTATAGTAGAATTATCTTTGTGGCAATGAGTTTGTGGCTCAACATTTGAAATTTGTTTCCATCCGTAGGTTAGTATGTGTCGGGTAAGGAGCTTATCGTCAAGTTGTGGATTCTAGATTTTAGCAAGCTGCAGGGTATGTCTCAATTATTTTAGTGGACATGTATCTCATAGACCCTTTTGTATAATTGAGTCGTAACTCTTTGATAAACTTGATGTATTTGAAATGTTATTTTGGGAGCTCCCCTTGTAAAAGTGAAATGTTTACATTTTCCTATTATGGATGAAACTTATGTTTTTGTGAAATGCTTCTTAAAATAATAGGTTAGTCATTCCGGTGGTTCCTTGTAATATCAAATTTTTTTTTAGATTTCAAGTCGGATTGGATTTGGGTGTTATATTTAGTGGTATCAAAGCATCAAGTTTAGTCATTCCTAGGATTTGAGGGTTAGAGTCAATGAGAGTCAATGATGTACATACCCCTAGAGTGTCAAGAGTACTTGATTATTTGGAACGGTGATAATGACTCCCTTTTTCTTTGAATTCTATAGGATATGGCTGACGATCCCACACCTAGTTAGAAGGGTCGCAATGAGAGTCATGTTTCGCTCACCAGAGATACTAGCAATGAGTTCGTCTTGGACTCTGACGATATGGGTATCCCAGAGGACGCATGTGTAAATGAGGTCACTTTCTTCAGAGACCTCACAGCTGCCCTTAGGCATTTCGTCAGAGTTATCCCTATAACACCCACTATTGTGCTGCACTCAAACTATCTTTCCGATAATCAGTTGCCCAACACATTTCTCTATATAGAGAAGCCAAAACTGTGGAGCCTCAACTGAGTCCACTGGCAACATGGAAATCTTTGAAGTGACGCAACCACATACAATGAACTTGGTTGAGAGATTTAACAGGCATCAAGATCTCTCTTATGAGTTGTAATATGCAAGCCCGGGCAAATATTTTAGCCTGTTCCTTGGAACAGTCTTCACTTAAATGTTGAAAATTTGTAACCAACCATGATAACGGTATTTGACCACCGTTGAAGTTAGGCGGGGTACCTCCAAGATACTCATCGCACAATGAATGTCAATTACCATCCGCCACACTAGAAATAACATCACCATCTATCGAAAGCCCCAAATATATGGAAACATCCTCCAGCATAATAGTACACTCCCCACACGAAGATGGATTCATGGTTACAGCGCCCTTCATATTTCGCTATGTAACCGAATCTAGCCTCATCTAAATATGGCCAGACACGAATTGATATCTCTAACTTAGTGTTACGAATAAATAGATCTAATATACAATCATTCCCATAATTAAATAAATAATATACAATTAAAATATAAACTAATACTAAAAATAAATAAAACATTCACAATAATTAAAATAACACAATTTAAAATTGTTACCGTATCGGCAAAATGACTCGAGATATGATTATCATCTAAACGCAGCAACCCGCCTTCCATTTTATAACTGCAAAAAAGATATAAGAAAATTAGTAAATTAAAGGGTAAATTACACGGGAGACCACCAAACTATGGTCATTAATCGATTTTGCAATTGAACTATTTTTTGTCTCAATTCGACCACCAAACTTTTAAATTAATTCAATCAAACCACTCTCCGTTAAAAAATGGACTTACTGACGTGTCTGTTAATAAAAGTGGCATAATTATATATTTGGTCCTTAATATTTACATAATCTATCAATTTAGTCACTATTTTAATTTAATTAAATAAATTTAACTATCCAATTAGAACACGACACGTGTCAATACATGATTGGAAGGTTTTATTTATTAATTTTAAATTAATTAATTAAATGATTTTTATCCAATCAGGTGGTAACACATGTCACCACCCCGATTGAAATGGAAAATTGAAGAACATATTTGCGCTCCAAGGGATTCGAAAGGGGGAGAGTGACTAGCGCCCAAACCGTTGAGTCAAAGCTCCCCAATGGTTCTAAATTGCAACAATTTGTATTTGACTTGTAAAAGTTTATTAATGATAAAAAAAATAAAACAAATTATTTGTTTAAATAAATTATTTTTTCTTTAACCGTTAATCGAATCGAAATTTATTTGAAAATTATTAACCGACCCAAATTAATCATTAATCGGTTAATAATTTTCAAATAAATTTTGGTTTGATTAACGATTAAATAATTTCGGTTCGATTATGGTTAAAGAAAAAAATTCGGTTAATAATTTTCAAATAAATTTCGGTTTGATTAACAGTCAAATAATTTCGGTTCGATTAATGGTTAAAGATTGGTTAATAATTTTCAAATAAATTTCGGTTCGATTAACGGTTAAGGAAAAATAATTTATTTTATTCGGTTAATCCGGTTAATAATTTTCAAATAAATTTCGATTCGATTAACGGTCAAATAATGTTGGTTCGATTAATGGTTAAAGAAAAAAATCGGTTGATTTGGTTCAGTTAATAATTTTCAAATAAATTTTGATTCGATTAACGGTTAAAGAAAAATAATTTATTTTATTCGGTTAATTCAGTTAATAATTTTTAAATAAATTTGGGTTCGATTAACGGTCAAATAATTTTGGTTCTATTAGTGGCTAAAGGAAAAAATTCGGTTAAAAATTTTCAAATAAATTTCGGTTCGATTAACGGTCAAATAATTTCGGTTGGATTAATGTTAAAGAAAAATAATTCGGTTAATTTGGTTCAGTTAATAATTTTCAAATAAATTTCGGTTCGATTAACGGTCAAATAATTTCGGTTCGATTAATGTTAAAGAAAAAAATCAGTTAATTTGGTTCGGTTAATAATTTTCAAATAAATTTCAATTCGATTAATGGTTAAAGAAAAAATAATTTATTTAAACAAATAATTTTTTAAATTTTTTTATCATTAACAATTTCATGTTTATTCCCCTTTAAGCTTTGTTTTAAGATTCTTTTTAAGACTTATGAATGTTTAAAGATTATTTTTATGTAAGCCAGTCTGTACTCAAGCTAGTTCCCTTGAAGGTATTTCTTGTTCTTGACAATGCATGATGTTTTTATTCTATCTCATATCTTTTTTGGATGGAGTTCATGTATGTATGTAACTCACGGTTAAGCTTTAATCTTAATACAGGCACTTGTTGAAAAAGATTGGCTAGCATTTGGTCACCCTTTCGCATATCGCATCGGATTGCCAAGTGTGTCTGGAACTTCATTTTATTTAACCAGACAATCTTCTACTGGAAGTATTTCATCTTCTCCTGCGCGCCAATCTTCAGGATCATTCACACCTCAAGCTTCTAATTCATCTCATGCGTAGAACAATTATTCTCCAATTCTATGTATTTCTTGTTTAGTTGCAGAGTATATGTTTTTCTTGTGTAAACACATTGATAGTTTTTTGTTTCCTGTTCCAGCTCACAAATGAGCCTCATATGTCGCATGGCATGTTCAACTTGGATTACAAGGCCGGTCACTCTTAAACTGTATTATATCTTACCTAATTGGCTTTCATCCTTGTATATTTCTCTTTGTGTCATTGCAAGTGTCATACCTGGTATTCTGATTCTTTTTTAGTTTATTCATCATTATTTTTGTGCTTGTAAACAAAATTTAAGTGGTAGCTTGGGCTTGCTGCCATGAAATTTGAGTCTTTTGTTTTTTAACTTTTTTTCCTTGTAAAGGGTAAAGACTTCAGGTCTCAGTTTCAAATGGGAAATGGTGCCTTATTTGGTTCTAGTTACATCCAGGTAAATAATTTGAAGCCACGTTATAATTTTAAATTCAGCTGAGCGCGCTTAACTTAGCATAATGAACATGTTATTGGATGATACATAGAAAAATAATTGTTACTGTACACGGACGAAAAATAACTTTTACTTTAATGCAAACTGATGCGAAGTATTGATTGCAGGCCCAAGAAGGTTTCTATTCCGTAATACATTGGGTCGATTTCAAAGTGAAAAGGTAGCTACCCTGTTAATATGATGGAAGTGTCCTTTACTTGGTAAAAATATAAGTAGAATGTCTGCTCAATAAATTCCATTATTTTGGTTGCTTATATTTATGTCTTATTATGCATCTGCAGGTGGACAGCGGAAGAAGAAGTTGCACTCAAGGCAGGAGTTCTTAAGCTTGGTACTGGAAAATGGCGCAATATCCGTTCAGATCCTAAGCTTAGTTTTGTCTTGCGTTCACGCTCAAATGTGGATCTCAAGGTATGTAGTTGAGCCTCAAGAAGGATTCACTAAGTACAGTTAGAACTATGCACTTGGAAAATGGATCTTACAAAATTGATTCTTGGGATGGTAAAGAAGTTTCTGATGTGCTTGCAAAGTGCAATTTGATTATTGGGTGTACATAGCGAGAAGTTGGGAAAGATTGCCATTGTATATTAGAGTTATAAATGGGAAGTGTGAAAATACACATGCAACTAGTTTACTTTTTTGTTTCTAGTATATGTAACATATGTATAGATTTGTATGTATTTTTGTTATATTAATGTTTATAAATTTTAATTTATTTTGTTGTTAAGTATTTTTCTGCATAATGTGTGTCTTAATTAAAATTTATGGTTGTTGTTAATTAGATAAAGCTACATGATATTAAATTTAGGTGATGTATTGCATAAATGAAATATGCAAAATCAATTAATCTAAGCTAAAAAAAGGAAATTAGCGGCGTTTGTATCCAAAAACGCCGCTATAGATCTGACCTTTTGCGTGAGTTTGTTCCAAAAAAACACCGCTATATATCTAATCTTTTGCGGCGTTTGTTCCAAAAACGCCGCTATAGATTTGACCTTTTGCGGCGTTTGTTCCAAAAAAACGCCGCTATATATCTGATCTTTTGAGGCGTTTGTTTAAAAAAAATGCCGCTATAGATCTGACCTTTTGCGGCGTTTGTTCAAAAAAATACCGCTATAGATCTGACCTATTGCGGCGTTTGTTCCAAAAACACCGCTATAGATATCAACCTTTTGCGGTGTTTGTTCCAAAAACGCCGCTATAGATCTTGTCCTATTGCGGCATTTTTGGTTCTCAAACGCCGCTACCTTTAGCGGCGCTGATATTGCCGGCGCTTCTTGTGGCGTTTTTCCTATCGTCGTAAGTACTTTTAGCGGCGCTTAAAAACGCCGCTATAGAACTAAGAAAACGTCGCTAAAGAACAATTTTTCTATAGTGTCTCCACCTGATTGGTTAAATCAGTTAATTAAATAATTTAAAATTCATAAATAAAACCTTCCAATCATGTATTGACACGTGTCATGTTTTAATTGGATAGTTAAATTTATTTAATTGAATTAAAATAGTGACTAAATTGATAAAGTATGTAAATATTAAGGACCAAATGTATAATTATGCCAATATTAAGGACCAAATATATAATTATACCACTTTTATTAACGGACACTTCAGCAAGTCTGTTTTTTTTAACGGAGAGTGGTCTGATTGAATCAATTAAAAAGTTTGGTGGTCGAATTGAGACAAAAAATAATTTGGTGGCAAGATCGATTAATAACCATAGTTTGGTGGTCTCCTGTGTAGTTTACCCTAAATTAAATAATAAACTATTAAATGATTATAATATAATAAAATCAATTTGTAGCTTCTAAAAAACGATAGCAAAATTTACTTAAAACTTGCTACAAGAATTGTTAAGGAATGAAATAAAAAAAAATTGGTATGGTTTGAGTGTTGTATGAAAGGATAATTATAGGAAGGAGGGGGACATGTGGTTAGACGTTATTAAAAGGGGTGGTGGTAATTTAATGGAAGGTGCATCAACGTATCAAATTTTCCGCTAAGGTGCGGATTACAATTCACGCTTTTCTACCATGATGCCAGCTCAGATAGAATCCCAGGAAGACACGCTTCATGATTCACACCTTCCGTCCACATCTGCGAGGAGCGTATCCTGAAACACGTTTTATTATCACTTTGTCAGAAAAGATGCTAGATTGGTAATATTTAGAGAAAGAGTATATGACAGATAATTATTGATTGTTTGGTAAAAACGCCGAAATTTACAGCAAATTATTAAAAAAGTTTTAAGTGACTTAACTTTTTACACGACAAAAAACTAGAAAAAAACATAAAATTAAAAAGTAATAATGATGCAAACTTCCGATAGTGTACTGGTTAGTATTATTACACATGTTTTAATTTAATTAGTGGAGCAAAGACATAATGGGGGCAGTAGAATTTTATTCGTTTAATGTAATTAATAAAAGTTGTTGTCACAATTATAGAAGAAAGTTACTATATCATTCAGGTATAAGTAGAAGGTTTACAATCCATGCATTTGAAGGATTAATTATTATACTTCTTATATATATAATCCTAGTAAAATTGCAGCAGTTTCTTTTAACTTTTCCTAGGATAAATTTGGATCTGCAATGGAGTTTTCATGACCACAGTGAAGTCATGCTTCTCCTCCAGGCTCACATCATCTCCATCCATGATTTTCCATTCGAAATTCCTCACCAAGTTGGCCACAAAATACTCTAGGTGAAGCATCGCCAAGGCCAGTCCAGGGCAAATCCTCCTTCCCACCCCAAATGGCATCATCTTGATTTCCCTGCTTCCTGTTATATCAAACACTACTCCTCCATTGCTTAGAGATCTCTCTGGTTTGAATGCCATTGGATCTTCCCATACTTTTGGATCCCACCCCATTTCTGCTACCATGAAATTAATGGTGCCATTCTTGGGCACCAAGCAACCTCCTAATACTGTGCCTTCTCTCACTATGTGAAGCAAAAGAAAATGACCTGGTGGATGCCTTCTTAGTCCATCCAAGACGGCTGCTTTCAGATATGGAAGCTTCTGCAGATCATCTTCATTCACCTCTCTCTGTCGGTTTCCCACTACCTCTTTGATTTCCATGAATAGTTTCTCTTGAACATGAGGATATTTCACCATGTTTGCCATGATCCACCGCAAAGCAGTGGAAGTAGAAGTAGTGTCTGTTCCGGCGTTCAGAAACTCGGAACACAAGCTGATGATTTCCTTTTCCGTTAGTTTCCTCTTTTCCTCCGGAAGTCGAAGATCGTGCAACGTATCGACGTACGCCGAGACGTCGCTGTCTTTCGATTTCTTTCGGGCTCTTATCAGACGAACCAACACCTTCTGGTCTTCAATGGCATTGTGGAACTCATTCCAACGTTTACGAAGCAAAAACCAAGTCACCTTGGGCCAAAAGTTGAGTATTCTGAATCTTCCGCCCGACTCTATTAGCGAACGCCGCTGCACAGTTTCGATCTCTATGATCTGATCTCGATTAAGCTTGTCACCGAAACACATCAGCACTAACAAGCAAAACATAGCGTGTTGAAATTCATCAACCACACGAATCGGTCTTCCAGTTTTCGAGCTCGAAGTGAAAGAATCCAACAGGATTTGAAGAACCCATTTTCGAGCATGAGAATACGATTTGACACGCGAAGGATGGAGGATTTCGCATGTGAGGTTACGCCTCAAAAGTCTCCAAGTCGGACCATAGGAAGCTGAGCTTATGCTATGTCGATTGCCGCTTATAACCTTGCCGATTACGGTCTGAGCATCGGCGCGGTCGGCGAATAAAGCACCACTTTGGACTAAGGCCTGGTGGGTGAGGGAACGATCGGAGACGTAAATGGCGGGACGAGAAAGAATATTGAGAGTGACCATCGGACTGAGCTTTGTGTGGAGGTTATGGAGGATCGGCTCAAGCTCAAAAAGGTTTCGCCTTAACCATAGGATGGTGGAGATAATGAGAATGTTGGGAGGGCCTGGAGGGAGAGCTTGGGATTGTGTTTTGGAGGTGGAAGAGCGGCGGTTAAAAAGAGCTCCAAGAAGTAGAGAAATGGTGATGATGATGATGAAGCAAGTTTCCATGTTTAGTTTGGCTTTTGGAGGTGAGACTTGTGTGACGGAGAGTATTGAGAGACTTGATAACTTTACTTCATCCAAGTTCAAATTTAAATCTATCATAAATTGCATGCATTTCAGTTTATGAAAAAAATGGCAAGTATTTTGGGGGTGTGCATTGGTTCTTCCTGCACGACTAGATAACTTTGAAAATAAAATGATTATTTGATTTTATTTTTTAAAAATTATAGATTATTCAATATTATGGTTCTAAAGGAAGACCTCTTTGGAATGGAAGAATGGGTATGTTATTATGTTACTCTTTTATTAGGTGAGTGTTACACAATAATACAATTTATAATATAACTTTAGTGTCTTTATTTTTAATTTATTTTTACATAAAAGTTTAGGTCATGAGTGACTCCCCCAGTCCAGGGTCAAGACATATCTAAGACTCAATTGGGATTTAAATAGAAATTTACAGATTGTCCAACAAGAGTGACGGTGATAGGATTCAAACTTAACTTTACAAGCTCAAATTCTTAAATCCCAACCACTTGTGTCAACACCCATTGGTACGTTACTGTCTTTATTTATAATATTATCTCTTCCATCACAAAATGGATATACCTCCCTATACTTCAGACCTTTTATTCTCTTCCTCACTAAACTATTTAATAAAATGAAAGGGGGACATTTTCACTAAATATATTTAAATTCCAAAAATTAAGAAATAAAATTTAATTTGACAAATCTTAACATTAGTAACAATTTAAAAATTATACAAAATCAACTTTTACTATACATTCTCTCGTAACTATTTCATAAATTTTTTAATCATTGATAATATATACGTTTGCAAACATAATTATTCGAATCTAAAACTTCAAAAAATAACATTTTCTACGATATTCAATAAACTCATAATCCGTTCCTAATTAAAATAACCAACAACTTTCATATTTATATAAAAAAAATGAAGATTCACCTTGAATATTTATAGCTAATATAAAATCAATTAACATGTTTGATAATAACACGTTCTATATCCGAGAATTATGCCTCAATAAATGCTTGTTCGCCGGATTGGTGGAGCATTTCTTGTTTATCTCAAAAGTTTGTTTGAAAAAAAAAATTTGAAACTAAAATTTGAAATTTCTAATCAATATTAACAACATATATTCGATGGCAATTAATACATAATGGATTTGGAACCTAATCAAGTAATTAATCGTAATTACTTGAAAATCTGTTTGTTAAGACATTTTACATCGGTGTATTATTTGATCATTGCTTAAGACATGAAATATTAAAGGTGTTTGGTAATGATGTCTAAAAGTACTTTTAATTAAAAAATTTGTTTTGATCGCAAAATTAATATTAAATAGGTAACAAAAAAATATTAGTGGATACTGTGTTTAAAACCAATCGGAAAAAGTTGAGATTTCTAACTTTTTCACTTCAAATTTTGTGTTTAGAAGTAAATTTATATTTTTACCTTTACCAATACATTTACTCCACTCATTTACCCTGGAAAACAACTTTTTTTTAATTTCTTTTATTAATTATGTATTTATATTTTATTTTAATAATTTAATACTAACGTCCTTAAAACTAATTTATTATTTAATAATTTTTAATTACCTAAAAATAAATAAAATTTATGATTTATATATTAAAATATTAATGGTGAGTTATTAAAAATATATTTTTATTATAATTATATTTTTATTCATATTTTTAAAATTTATTATAGTTTAAATTGATATATTTTGTATATAATAATTATTTATTTTAAATTTGTTTATAATATATATCTTTTTTATTTTTGAATGGTTAAAAAGATAAATATCATTTGAATTATTTTATTTTTAAATTTTAAATGAGTCATTGAGGTTAAATCAGAATAATTAAAATACTATTTTAAAATTCTTTTTTTATTTGACAATGAACGCTCAATTACCCTACTGCAGTCCCTGGTGCTCGAACCCATGACCTCTAGGAACAACAACAATTCCTTTAATCACAGAGATAATTTGTTTCGTTCACTATTTTAAAATTCAAATTTTAAAAAGTATTTATATAAATATTTTTCCTAATAAAAAATTTCATACATAAAAATATTATTAGAGTTATCTTAAAATATTTTTTATATTTTTATTATTGTTTAAATTGATATATCTTATATATCATAAGTGTAAATATAATTTCAATGTTATATTTTTAATTTATAACATAATGTCTAAAATAGACATTATCTTTTGAAAATCATTTTTTAACAACAATCTCAAACAGTTGAATTTTAAACTACACTTATCCCACTTTTAAAAGTTCTTTTCTATAGCAATTTTAAAAGTCACTTTTCAAAAATAATATCAAACTGGCCTTAGATACACTCACCTTAATCTAAGAACTATTACGTCAATATTTAAAGATGGATCGAGGGATACTAACGGGTGTCGCCTCCTAAAATTTTCAAATTAATTCTCATATAATTTAGATATTTTTTTTTCTATTAATGATTTGTCTTCTATAGATTTATAAATTCAACCCTAACATTCGATTTAATAACCCTCTTCACAAATCTCGAGATTTTTAATGTCAATCTTGCTTGAATTAGATCTTCCATTAAATTTTTTTTAGCAAAAGAGTATGATGTCACAAATTGCTGAGACAATTGTGACGGCAATGGCTTTGTATCACTAGTAATATCCTTTGTCTTGACAATACTCTCCTTAGATTTCTCATTAATCGTAGATTGCTTCTCAAATGCTGGCTCAACATCAAAACAATATCTTTCTCGACATTTACCAGCTGAGTTCTATTCCGTAATGTGATGGATTTATAAGTTATTTGCATTCGAATGTGTCATAACACTTTGTAACTTCAGTATCACTTGACAATACATTGAATTAATGGAATTAATCAATTTTCTCGGTTTCTCTAAGGAAATAGATTGACTTTATCTCTTGACGTATATTCTTTCATCATATCTTCTGACGATACAGATGATGAAGCTAATTATTGATTCTGATACATTCCGTGTTGCATTGTTGTTATTGTTTAATTGGATATTACATCGACTGATGTTGGCTAATAGCGATTGAACCATGTATTCATAGTGACAACATTTGATCTAGGAACAATGTATTCAACACTTGGTTATTACCTCATGTATTGCATAATAGTATTCATCTATATTTGTTCCGGCTGCATTTACTTTGCAGTACAAACACGTGCATTGCAGCTAAATTAGGTAAAAAGAAGCTATCACCTCATTCACACATTCCATCACATAGCATTACACTACATGCCACTACGTATAGCAAGTTTTTCAACTGTGCAAGTGTTAAAATATGCAGTTCACTCGCTATAACAAATATCATCTCTTTGAGGCACCTATAGCGAACTTCCTGAAACTACCTGTAATTGTTCTTATTGTTCATAATAAACATTGCTGTGAAAGTAAATAAAAGAAATGTTAGTATAAAGTAATCATTTTCAAAATGAGAGGCTGAAACTGCACCTCAGAGTTATGCATTTCGTACCTTTCCTGAAAGCATCAACATTTATTCTGACTTTGTTTTATCTTTCCCAATATCAGGTATCCAAGACGAAAAAAATATCGGCAAGAGGGTACAAACTGCCTGAATTAGAAGGCCAAAAGGAAATCCAGAAAAATCATTTTCTGTGATCCCCTATGTATGATGCCAATGCAACGCCGAGGTATCCACTCACAATGATTGAAAGGGCTAAAGCTGACAATACGAATGCCATAAAAGACCCTTCACATCCTGGAGGGCAAAGTTGAGCTATCAGAACATTGAACGGCAGGATCTTGAAGAATAATAGAATCTCTAGGACACCAGAGAAAACCACAACGTAGACGGAGTCTGGCACCCCCAACAGTCGATAAGTCCCTCTCACAAACAACACATCTGAAATCATGAGTGCTGCCATTGTTGCCTGAATAGCTTGAAGCAGCGTCCTTGGTCGGACTGACTTTAAGCTATGATCGTAGATGACACCCCATAATAGATTTACTAACTGTCCAAACACCTTAGAAATTCCCAATACAGAGGTGTCCATCTTCAAATACTGTGTTTGGTAGAAGAACATTGTTCCGGTCAGTACTGGAATTAGAGCATATGATGCAGCAAACCATGCTATTGAGTTAGCTATCTCAGGTTTTCGCAATGCAGCTGAAAGGTCCAAAAGCTGTTTCCTAATCCCAACATGTGATGGACTTTTTGGAAGATTAAGAGAGCGCTCAGGAACTGTGATAGTTAAAAGAAAATGGAGCACAAGAAGTCCATAAAAGAGGAACATTGATTGGGGGGAAAATCTGACCATGGCAATGCCAACTAACATTCCAAGGATTCCGCCTACAGCAGAAGCAATCCAAACAAATGACTGAAGCTCACCTGAAGAACTTGATTGAGAAGTTTTGGATTTCGTCATCTCGGCAACAATAGCATCATTAGCAACCTCGGCTATTGCAGCACCATAGTTACCGAGGAGAAGGAATAGGCTCATTGTGAAGATTGAAATGTTCGATCGTGAAAGTATTGCTATTGTTACCCATTACAGTGCTTGTAAGGAAGCTGCAACAAGGAAACAGCAAAAACTATTATCAAGATGAAAATAAGATTTCAATTGAAAAAAAGGGTACAGCAATACCAACCCAAAAATATTTTGCAATTATCTAGTTCTACTGCTATTGAAACTTGCTTTCAACAAGAAAACAGTGGCTCAAAACAGCAGAAGCCACAATGACAATAGAAAAAAGAGTGAACTCAAGGACAACTTTGTTTTCAAGACATACCAAATGATCCATAAGCTATATTCTGTCTGAATATGAAATTGTATTTCTAGAAAACTATGGTATTCAGGTAAATTAACAAACTTGACACTCTTAATTTGAGTTTCAGTGTCCAGCAGCTAATCAAATCCAAGAACTCATATTCAGTTCACTGTAAAAATTGCTTATAAACATAGTAGCTGACACCTAGTTATAATCGACATTG